GTTGAATTTCACTTTTCTGTTATTGCTGAATGTAATTCACTAGAACATTTTGGTCTCACCTCAGTCATTATCATTGAACTAGTTTTCGATTTGTTGTGTTAAAAATGTCACAATTGCTTTATGTAAAAACTACAATAACAACTGAAATCTTCCACTTTCACTTGCACTGTATTTGCTTGGTTCCTTAGCTTTTTTAAATACATACTATACATGTATGGAAAAGGCAGAACACACAAGTGATGCGCCGACTCAGAGCCCAATCTTTCCTCAGACATTTTTGTTTCTGCAGCCCATAAAAACAACTCATTACTGATAGCTAAGCTGCCAATTTTCTTGAATTTAAAACTTGTTCTGGTATAGTTAGACCCATAATGCCTCTTCAAACAGTAGGACTTAGACTAAATGACATTATTACATTTTTATGTACGTTTTCATTTGAAATATACCACCCACAATTTCCTCTGAATGTTGTCTCCATGCTGTAATGTTCAAAAAGCTCTTTATTTTTCTCATACTGCCTGTGCTGCAGCACCTCTTTTCACCCTCCGTCTGAAACCAGAGCCCAGTCTGCTCTGATTGGTTAGCTGGCCGGCTCTGTTGGGAGTGGTCAACCGCTTAGAGATGTCCCGCCCCTTAGCCTATCACGTACAATGTGTTGAAGTGCTTTCCAAGAGAAGCACAAGTGTTACATAGTGATGTCATTACGGTAAATGGTAAACCCCGAAAAGCATAATAGTGCCATTTTAAAATAAAGGTCTCTTTGCAGTATCATATCAGTTTTGCAATACCATATTCTCTTACACAACTGCAGGGCAATCGGAAGTTTATTTAACTTTGCAATCGTTCCTAAAGTGACATTTACCCCCAAACCTTCTGACACTTTCTTCTGGGCTGTGCTGCATTTGCAGAAGAAAAGCAATTGTGTTGACAAAATGGAGTCTGTCCAAGTGAAAACTCTCTGTATTCATTAAATGTGTTCAGTCTCCCAGTCGGCAGCAGCAGTCATCGGAGTGTCAGCTCATCCTGTTATCTCCACATCAAATGTACCGTCGTCTTCACTTCAGCTCCACTTGACCCGCCTCACAACTGCCTCTTCATTCACTCTCAGAACTTCATTAAACTCTTTCAAAGTCAGCCTCTGCGCTACTTGTTCTCGCTCTCTGCCTCTCTGACTTTTGCTTCACTTCTTATTAATTTTTTAAAGCACTCTGATAGATCTAACAGTAAAACAAGACATGCAAATTTAATCAGATTTTCGGGGGTAATTCAGAGTCACACTGAGAAAGGAAATTAAATGTGCAGAAAGGATCAACTAGCGCCGACCCTTAGATGATTATTTAAAATATTGGATGAAAGCTAACTGTTTCCAAAGGGTACGTGATGTAAAGTGGTGTAAGAAGTGCACCGTTTAAAATATATATCACAAGAAACCTTTCCAAAAAAAGGATCACAAATGAATCCCGTCCGTGAATCGTAGACAGAATCCAGCGAACAGTTGGGAGATAAAATCCTGCCATACTCTCAAAGTTTATGAAAGCGAATGTTAAAGTTTCATGAGGAAGCCACAGGGTGAGCAGTGGTGTTATATCAACTTTTATAGATATACATTTTTTTATTCAGATTCATTTTCAAAGGGAGCCACAACAACCACAAAAACATCTCTGTATCGTCTGTATGATATAATTTCAGTATGTGTGAATATGATGTTTTTCTACTAAACCCACTCCCAGTCAAAGAAGCACTTTGCCTTGATAACATCAGTTTCCATACATCTGAACAACAGGAATTATCTCAGCAAAATATACGTTTTAAAGGTAGGGTAGGTAAGTTTGAGAAACCGGCTCGAGATACACTTTTTGTTATATTCCATGGAATGCTCTTAACATCCCGATAGCAATGAATATCTTAAGTGCTTTGACAAAAAATCCATAAAAAAATGTCATCTGTGGAAGCCGTAGTACTGTAAAAAGTACGACCAATCATTTTAGCCGGCCCGGCTAAAATAACTGGATGGCCTACCTGCCTGTCAGCCTTCCATCTGTGCACAAACTTATCTCGTGCCCTCATTGGTCGTGTGCGCGTTCGTGTGTGTTGGAGGAGGGGCTCTATAAGGAAGTGGCAGATTTTCTCCGGTTGTGTATTTTCAAATTCTAGTGATCTCGAGCCGGTTTCTCAAACTTACCTACCCTACCTTTAACAGTACTAAGTGCTCATTTTCAGGGCGACGTTTGGACCAATACAAATAGTTTGATTGCTCAATAGCTGTGGCAATTCCCCTTTGTTTCCCGTGTGTGAACCTAAAGAGGACATATTTTGTTAATTTTCAGGTTTTATTTTTGTATTGTTTTGGAGAGAAACTCCTTCTGGAGGGAATTTAAGGATTTTAGCCTTTTCAGACCATTTCAATGCACTAAAACCTATAACACACTACAGGAAAGAGAACATTTTATTTTATTTACTTGCACTGTTTTATTGTGTTGCACTGTTGGAGGAGCCTTTGATCTAAGAATTTCTTTGTCATAACTAAACTGTAGCTATGTACAAATGACAATAAAAGCCTTGAATCTTGAAAAAAATAAAACACAAAGCGTAATAGGGCCTCATTAAGGAGGCTAAAGTCATTAGGAGATAGTAAGGAAGGGCTCAGTTTGTTCTTCCTCTCCATCATTGAAAGCGTCCTGCAGTACGGAGGCTCATTCTGGTTCACTGGCCTGTCAGTTCGACTTAAAGCTGGGACAGTACGGCTCCTCAGGATCTGCTCCGAGGTGGTTAGTCACTCTGTGGAAAACTCCTAAACAGCTGCATTAACTGAACCCTCAGACTGTCTGACTAAATCACCCCGGACTCTTCACATGTCTTACATCAGGAGCACCAACTTCTGCCCTCTGGGAGGCCTTTCAAGGGCCAGCATGAACTGAAGTCATGCAACAAGTCCTCCCAACGTCAATGTGTTCATGGTTCGGCCTTTTCTTTCGGATTTAAAGGTCACCTATTATGCAAAATCTACTTTTTCACGTCTTTTCTGCATCAACATGTGTTCCCTCTGTGTAAAGAGATTCTGAAAGTTTCAGGAAAAAATATTCTCTCACTTTTTGTCCTGATCCATTTATATAAAAACCTGTCTGAAAATGAGCTGATCAGATTTTGGCCACTTTATGATGATACATTTATTTCAGAAGAAAGGTGAGCACAACAAACACAGTTTAGGAATGGTTTAAGCAGTTGTTTAGATGAATGCAGTCTGCCAGGAATCTAGTGTGGAGCATATTTACATTGTATACATTGAATTAATCAGTATCATTAATTAATATATCGTATGACATAACAATGAGCAAAGCTTAACATCATGAAACACATGGCCCTTAGTTTCAGAAAGAGCCAGAGAGTGGAGCAGCGCAGATCCCTCATTTCCTGATGATGAGACCAGGTGAGCTCATATAGAAGTTATTCCAAGCTATCATTTGTAGCAGTTACCACTATTATTACTACTTATACTTCAGTTCTACTTTATTTCATTAGTGACTACCCTAATAACCGCTACAGATTCATGTGTACAGTTGTTGGCTCAATCATTTGTAAATACACTTCAAAAGATGCAAGAAAAACATGGATCAAGAGAGGAAGGGGGCCCACAGAGACAGCTTATGTATAGGGCCCGGAGTTTTGTGCTACGCCCCTGACAATGGATCACTGAAGGACAAACAAGAGAAGGATGCAGAGAGAGGAAGAGCCTGTGTGTTTCAACCGTCCCAAGTAACGAACATTAAGGTAAGACGGGTTTACCATCAGGATATCAAACATTATTCACAATTGTAAATGTATTATTTCTGCCCAGGTGTTGTAGTTGGGTATTTGTTGTTGTCAGTCCCCTCAGGAGAGAAAGCTTCATGTTGTCTCCGTCCATATAGTCAGGTGTCAGCAAACACAACCAGCAACATGTGGTATAAAAGCACAAAAGAAAAAAATACAAATAAATTCATCTAAAACTAGATACATTAAAAACATGTGATAATAACAATAATAACATTCAGATCAGAATCAGAATACCTTTATTAGTCCCACAGAGAGGAAATGTACATTGTTACAGCAGAAAAGAGCCAAAGACAGCTTAATGTTACCTAAAGCATGCATATAAAAGTATTAACCTGTTAAGCCCGAGAGCCCCCCTATTTTCACGAAACTGTGTCTCAGGGCTTCTTAATATTTAAAAACCTATTAATGTGTCATACCCATACCCCATTGTTTACCGAAACAAAACACAAGTCTCACAAGAAGCGTCTAAATGAGCCCTGAGCGAAAAAATGCTAACGCACTTAGCACAGAACTCAAGGTAAAAATACCCTTATTACTTATCGTAACTGCACATACAAGATATCAGATTAAAGCTGAGATTCCACAGATTCTATAGGTATTAGTATCATCACTGAGCAATCAGAACTCGCGACAGGGGAAGCAAACACAGACGTCACAACACGTAGCATTACGGAGCATTCACGGGAGATCGTCTCACCTTAGCTGTTATTCTGATCAAAAGTCGTGTTCAATGGCATTAAAACGATAAAAACGCGGCTGAAGGTTAATACATAGGTTAATCCAGCGCAGCACTCATTCACCAATGGGTAATGTTTAGATGGATTTTAGGAACTTCCCCTCGATTCTATTGGCTCTAACGGTTAACAAGAGATGTCAATCACCAAAATCGAACGAGGGGGGGCCAGAGATATGGAAAATGCACCCAAATGACCCCAGAAGTGTTTTTTTTTTTTTTTAAATATCTCTTAAAAGGTCAAATGTCACTTGTTTTGCATCAATCTTGATACAGGGTACTTATTATGTTATCGTTTTTAGTCTACTATCCCATCATACAAGGGTGGTTTTCACTATAAGTAATTTTTATTTTGGACGGACACTATAATTTAAATTTTTTTACTATGTTCAATCTGAATTTACTTTAAATAAAAAAAAAAATCTATATTGATTCTGACTCTTCTACATCCAACTCACAGGTGTATCATTGCTTTGAGAAAAAAGATTATTCATTTACCCCTTTTAGAAGTGAAGTTATGGTCATTTGTTTTGGGAATGTCATTTTCGAGCCTGAGACCTGAACAACAGGCTCACTGGTTCAAAAAAACTGAGAAACGCCATCATGTGCTTCTTTGTATGGAATATCCTCCTACTCCATGGAAATGTTACTCACTGCAGTTTATTTAGACTAGGTTTATGAAGAAAAACGTGTTATTACCGGGAACATGAGTGAAAATAGTCACGTGGGATTAATTGAGTCGGGGTGATTAACACAAAATGTCATAATTGAAAACTGTTCTTCATGTTCTCCGTAGCCGTTCTTCTGACTGTTTCCAAAGAGTTGAGGGACAGAAATTGAACCTCATGCAGGATTACGGGGCTGAACGCACTGCCATTTGTTGAGATGACGATATTCCCTCATGGACCTGGAAGATAAACAGGGAGAATACTCTTGTTATATAACCAACAATCACTGTAAACAGAGATCTCTTAAAAAATTACTAATAAGTTACACAAAAGTTCAATGTGATGTTTAGAGAGATATTTATACTCCTCAACTTTCCCAGTGGTGGGTTTATTTATTTAAAAATATATAATATGTAACATTTCCTTATTCAAATGTCAAAAAACGATACCCTATGGTATTTAAACATTATTTTTGAGTAGTGTACATCCAATACCTGTTCTTTCACACAAGTGAAAAGCTAGCATTAGGCTATAAAGGACCTACATCACAGTCACATGATTTAACATCACAGCCAATGAGGAGATGAGTTTCTCCGTGATCAGCGTGATGACGTTATTATGAATTTAGCCACTCGTTAGAACCGCCTGGTTAAAGACACTCTTTGAGCATTATATTGCTTTTTATTTTTTAGTGTCCACGCTAGCTAACCTTGTCCTTTCAGATATACTGACAAAAACACTTGAAAATATGAAACAGACTCTGCCACCAACAAAGACAGTTTGCCAACTTTATAATGTTGACAAACTGTCTTTATACTGTTCTATATCTTTATAATATCTACACTTTTTAGTGTCCGCGTTTCAGTTTTGTTTTAAGCTTCTTGCAGCGTTTGCTTTTTACAGCGTTTCATTAATGTAGGGCTTTTAGTAAACGCTGCGCATGTTTCCTCAAGTTGGTAAATATGTTCTAAATGCTGTGCATGTGTTGTCAAGCTGGTGAAGATGTATCTTCATTTGCATGTGTTTTGGAACATTTGTGTTTTTATATTGCATTGTATTTGAAGCTTCAGCGCCTTTCTCCTAATGTATGTGTTTTGGGCCGTTGTAGCAGGTTAGCGCCTGTTAGCCACTCTATGTTAGACATTAATGGGAGGCACAAATTTCATCAAGTGATACATAAATATATTACCTATGATTTGATTGCATGTACAAGAGTTTGGATATATCTGGAGGATATGGGTTCAATACTCACATTTCTTCTGTATCTTGGCTGTCATCATCTCGCCTCTGATCCTGCAGAGATGAACACAATCCAACAGTTATAGATCAAGTTAAAATAAGGGTTTGTTCTTTGAGTTAGTCAGCTTCACAGTCCTGAGTGATCCAATGCTTTACATCACATCATATCTTCTCTGCAAACACTACGACTGACTGTCCACAGCTCTCAGCTGCATGAGAGAATTAACAAGGCATTAGTCCAGGAACAAAACAACTACATAGGAAAAACAAACAGACTACCTTTTTAACTGTAAAATCCCATGTGTCTGTTAATGAGTTGCAGCTGTCTGAAATGTGGCTTTGCATTGTCAGCTTGTATTATCTTGCTTGATAATAATGAAATTAAAGAACTGCAAGATGAACAAAAGGAGGAACTGCAGATAAATGGTAACATCACTGATTTGTTGTGCAAAGCTAGGCTACGCCTGGAAGGTGGAACTGGAGAGATTCCCCAGTGTGAGGAACACATCCACCTCCCTGTTTTTAATACAATCCTGCTGAACCAGTAGAGAGTCGACCCCTTACTGACCTGAGAGTCTCCAGTCTGCAGTCTGGGCTCTCCAGAAGGTCTCTCAGCAGCTTCACATCTGAATCCTGCAGACCGTTGTCTCTCAGGTTCAGCTCTCTCAGATAGGAGGGGTTGGACTTCAGAGCTGAGGCCAGAGCAGCACAGCTGATCTCTGAAAAACTGCAGCCCCACAGTCTGAATAAAGAACACATGATCAGATGGTCAGTTCAAACCATTCAGTCAGTATAAGCTTTTACATCTTTTAGCTTCATAAAAATGTTGGAAGAAGCAAATACTGAATATATTTTTAGTGTTTAATTGGAAATACTTATTAATTTTACTCATTTGTCTTTTATATAATGTAGTAAAATAAAACTTGACGGAGGTTCAGTGTGAATTATGCAGAGTATAATTCTTATTGTAATATTTACATTTAAAGCTGAATATTACTCTGCCACTGTCAATGAACTAAACCACAGAAGAAGAAAATAGACTTCAGCATTAAGTCCCACAGTCTGAATAAAGAACACATGATGCAAGTTTAGAAAACAATGTTCCTTATTGAAATAATGAAAGTTCTAATAATCTGATTATAGCTGGAGAAGTAGAGAATGTAGAAGTTTATAAAGTTGACACTCCCGACAGGTTAAAAGATCACAAATATGTCAGGAAGAATTTTAAAGAAATGTGATCAAAATAAATAGAGAATATTTATTTTAGGAATAGTGGAGACATAGATCAAAGCATCTTCAGTTTAAACTATTCAGTCAGCATGAGCATCTTGTAGCTTAATACAAATGTTAGAAACAGCAAAAACTGAACATATTTGTTAGTGTTTGATAGTTTTAATAGAAATATTTAAATATTGTATTAATGTGTTTATAATGTCATTTATTTAAAACAACATGATGGAGAATATAAGATGAATTTCAGGTTTTTGAGAGGTTCAGAGTGAATTATGCAGAGTATGATTTTTCTTTAACATTGCTCTGCCACAGTCAATGAACTAAACCACAGAAGAAGAAAATAGACTTTAGCATTAAGATGCTCAGTGAGGATCAGGATCATATCAGCCTGATGTCTGCAGCTCAGAGTCAACACAACTCTCACATATTAATCTCAGCACAGAAGTAAAAGATGGAGAACTGACGTGAGAGTCTCCAGTCTGCAGTCTGGGCTCTCCAGAAGATCACTCAGCAGCTTCATGACTGAATCCTGCAGAACGTTCTGACTCAGGTCCAGCTCTCTCAGATGGGAATGGTTGGACTTCAGAGCTGAGATCAGAGCAGCCCAGCTGATCTCTGACAACTTGCATTTCCCCAGTCTGAATAAAGAACACATGATGCAAGTTTAGAAAACAATGTTCCTCATTGAAATAATTAAAGTTCTAATAATCTGATTATAGCTGGAGAAGTAGAGAATATAGAAGTTTATAAAGTGGACACTCCCGACAGGTTAAAAACAGTAAGTTACAGAAAGAGAACATAGCTCTCATTAATATTAAAGACAACGTGCTTCACCTTCAATAAAAAGTGGTGACTTCACATCTGAAACTCTGCTCCTTCTACACTAACTCGTGATGTGCAGCCAGACAAATACAAACCCACAGAAACTGATTCAACTCAAGATCACAGAGTTTACAAAGAAGCAGCACCAGAGTCTGAATAAATAACACACAATGTAAGTTCAGAGAACAATGGTCCTGCTTGAGGTAGTTCAAAGTTTCATCATCTTTTCAGACCTGGAGAGGGTTCAGAGGCCAATGTCAAAAATGATGTAGATACTTTTATAATAATAATAATATATTTTATTTATAAGCGCACTTTTCATTTGCGTAAACAAAACTCAAAGTGCTACAAAATTAAAAAGGGTGAAACAAAACAACAAAAACAATAAAAAATAAAAAAGAGCAGCGGAGCAGAAGGCTCGGTCTCCCATGGTCTTCAGTTTTGTCCTTGGTGGGATGAGGAGGTTTGCCTTTACTGATCGTAGGTTCCTCGTGGAGGTTTGTGGGGTCAGCAATTCCTTGATGTAGGAGGGAGCATTTCCATATATGCACTGATGAGTGAAGAGGGTGATTTTGTAGTCAATCCTGAGTGAGACCGGGAGCCAGTGCAGTGATTTGAGGATGGGTGTGATGTGTTTGTACTTCCGCACTCTCATCAGGATCCTAGCAGCGGTGTTTTGGATGATTGCAGCTTCTGGATGTTCTTGCTAGGAATCCCAATGAGAAGTGCGTTACAGTAGTCCAGCCTGGAGGAGACAAAGGCGTGGACAAGCTTTGCAGCATCTGGCAGACTGAGTGTGGGGCGGAGTTTCGCAATATTTCTCAGGTGGTAGAAAGAGGTCTTGCATATTTGCTTGATGTGGGCCTCAAAGTTCAGGTGAGGATCCATTTTAACTCCCTGATTGGTAACCGTTGATGAGAGTGGAATATACATGTAATATATAAAAGTATCTGTAATAATGCATCAGAACAACCTCCTTCATCTCCCTCACAGCTCATCAGTACTGACAGCATCTTCACTGAGTCATGGAGCACAGTGAGAGTCTGTGGAAGCTCAAACAATGTCCGTCACACATCTACTTTCTCTGCTTTCTGTTATTCTTGTAAAATATTCAAAAATTTAGAAAGAAATGTGTACTTATTAAAATATCTTTGTACTCAGGCAAATTATGGAATTATAAATATATAAATTATAAATACTGTACAAAACCACATGAACTGCAGCCAATAATCTGACCTCAGAGTCTTCAGTCTACAGTTTGGACTCTTCAGTCCAGAACTCAGCTGCTCCACCTCTGAATCCTGCAGACCGACTTTCAGCTCCAGCTCTCTCAGATTGGAGGCCACGACTTCCCAGTCTAAGAATCCACTGTCAGGAATTCTGTTATAACACATATTACAGAATTTGTTTATAAAAAAAAAAGGAGTGTGTCTGTCACCTCTTTGCTAGCTACCTTCTAGACTAGAGTCAACATGAATCAGATATTACTCTGTGTATAATTTAACGATAAAGAAACTGCAATAATTTCATAATAACTTTACTCCATTTAATGACATATGTACAATTATTCTGTATGTTGTGATCACATGTTGCTGTGATAAAACATCCTTCATATTTTTTTGACAAGGAAAATGAAGAGAAGAAAAAACTGTACAATTTTGAAATTATTAGAATAATTGTATTAATTCAATTTTGCTCTCACAGAATGTGAAACAGCAAAAAGTTGTATAGTGTTTATTTGAAAAACTAAAATCCTTATCTACACTAATCTATAAATTTAATCACATCTGGACTCACACAGCCGTCCTGCAGTTCCTCTCAGCTGGAATCAGTCTCCGTCGTCCCTCCTGTGATGTTTTGTACTTCTCCAACTCATCCAGAACCTCCTCTGACATCTCCAGCCTGTAGGCCAGAGCTGAGCAGCGTTCCACAGAGAGTCTCTTCTCTGATCTGTTCTCTGACTTCAGGAACTCTGTGATCTCCTGAAGTACTGAGTGGTCGTTTATCTCTGTCAGACAGTGGAGCATGTTGAGGCTACTCTGGGGAATGTATCCATCATTTCTCAGCTCCTTCAGGTTGCTGATGGCTCTCTGGAAGATTTCTGGACGTTTGTCTGTGCGACCCAGCAGGCCTCCTAAGAGTCTCTCGATGAATGTTGGTCTGTTGTCTGTGTGACCCAGCAGACCTCCTAAGAGTATCTGGTTGGACTCCAGAGAGAGGCCATGGAGGAAGCGGACAAACAGGTCCAGGTGGCCATTTTTACTATTGAGTGATTTCATCATGGCGCTCCTTAGGAAGACATCCAGGGATGGGTAATCCTGATCACTGCCAAACATGTTCTTATAGTCCTTCAGTACCTCTCTGTTCCTGTTGATGTAACAGTGGAACATGTAGACTGCAGCCAGAAACTCCTGAATGCTCAGATGAACAAAGCAGTAGACTGTTTTATTGAAGATCACACTCTCTCTTTTGAAGATCTCTGTACAAACTCCTGAGTGCACCGAGGCCTTGGTGACGTCAAGACCACAGCGCTCCAGGTCTTCTTGGTAGAACATGATGTCTCCTGTCTCCAGATGTTCAAACGCCAGCCTCCCCAGCTTCAGAAGAAGCTCCCTGTCAGCCTCCGTCAGCTGCTGTGGACTCGTCTCATGTCCCTCATCATACTTCTGCTTCTTCCTCTTGGTCTGGACCAGCAGGAAGTGTGAGTACATGTCAGTGAGGGTCTTGGGCAGCTGTACTCTCTGGTCTGTAGTCAACATGCGGTCCAGAACTGCAGCAGTGATCCAGCAGAAGACTGGGATCTGACACATGATGTGGAGGCTCCTGGAGCTCTTGATGTGAGAGATGATTCTGCTGGACAGGTCTTCATCACTCGATCTCCTCCTGAAGTACTCCTCCTTCTGGGCGTCAGTGAAGCCTCGTACTTCTGTTACCCTGTCGACACACTCAGGAGGGATCTGATTGGCCGCTGCAGGTCGAGAAGTTATCCAGACGAGAGCCGAGGGAAGCAGCTTCCCCCTGATGAGGTTTGTCAGCAGCACATCGACTGAGGACTCCTGAGAGACATCAGACACAACCTCATTGTTTCTGAAGTCCAGAAAAAGTCTGCTTTCATCCAGGCCGTCAAAGATGAACAGCACTTTGCAGACAGCCAGCTGCTCTGCTGTGACCTTCTGTAAGGTTGGATGGAAAACATGGAGCAGCCTGAGAAGACTGTACTGCTCACCTTTGATCAGGTTCAGCTCCCTGAAGGAGAGCGGGATCACCAGACTGACATCTTGGTTTTCCAAACCCTCGGCCCAGTCCAGAGTGAACTTCTGCACTGAGAAGGTTTTTCCAACTCCAGCGACTCCATTGGTCAGGACCGCTCTGATGAGAGTCTGTTGGTCAGGTGAGGCTTTAAAGATGTCCTGGCACTTGATTGGAGTGTAATGGAGGGTATTTTTCTTGTAAGCTGCCTCAAGCTGCCTCACCTCATGTTGGGTATTAACCTCTTCACTCTGTCCTTGTGTGATGTAGAGCTCAGTGAAGATCTTGTTGAGGCTGGTTTCACTTTCATCAGTTCCTTCAGTCACTTGTTCACATCTCCCCCTCAGACTGACCCTATGTTCATCTAAAACCTCCTGCAGACCACGTTCTGCTGAAAGAGAAGGAAACGTAAGAATAATGAAAATGTTTTAAATGAACTTATATTATGTACAACACAACAGGAGGAATCCTGTTTTCAGGCATGAAGACACCAGGAGACAGAGGTTAAGACTTACTTTGTACTGTCCTGGTCTGACTGGCTGTCTGCAGTCCAGCTCTGGTTCTGGATCTTTCTCCACACTGGGGACATGAGGAGTCTCCTGATGGAGGGCGCTGCTCCCAGTATGAGGTGATGCACTGTCTGCAGAACCAGTGTCCACAGCTGGTAGAGACTGGATCCTTCAGGACGTCCTGACACAGAGCACAGCTGGACAGATGCTCCTCCACAGGAACATGACTTTTCCTCTTCCCTCTGTGGAGATGAACACATCCTTTATAGCACATTACGGTGACTGATTGTTTAAGTTCTTTATCTGTAGATGATATTTCATCCTGATAACTGTTCCCAAGTGGTAGATATTTAGTTATTCATATAATTATGAAACAAAACGCCCTTCTGTCTGTAACATCATCCGCCTACAGCATGTTCACTGTAGCTCACAAGTTTTACTACGGCTAAATTAAACTGGTTTATGTAATAACTACTTAATGATTCCAATTTGTAAAAGCAGTTAACATTTTGTCAGGTCTGTCCACAACATGGAAAGCAAATCACTTTAAAAATGCTAGTTAATGAATGGGGATTAGATTGAGTGGAGTTAGACTTAGCTAACATTGTGGCTGCTCCATTAATAGTCAAACTAACAATCAATGGTTGATACACATACATGTTTAACTTCAGTTCAATATGAAGTAATGTAGAACTCTAGGTGCCGATATTTTCCTTATCTGATTCAAGTACGTCTGAGTTTCTATACTGAGCTCTACTGAGTTTCTATACTGTGGGCTACTGCATTCATGTAATCATTAAAGAAGAGTTTAAAATGATCCGATGGCATATATATAGATATATATATATATATATATAGTATATATATATATATATATAGTATATATATATATATAGTATATATATATATACACTATATATATATATACAGTATATATATATATACACTATATCATATATATATATATATATATATAGTATATATATATAATATATATAATATATATATATATAGTGTAGGAAATAAGTATTTGATCCCCTGCAGATTTTGTAAGTTTACCCACTTTCAAAGAAATGACCAGTCTGTAATTGTAATGATAGGTTTATATAAACAGTGAGAGTCAGAATATCAAAAAGAAAATCCAGAAATTGACAATAAGAGAATTTTTTTTATTTGCATTTAACTGTGGGAAATAAGTATTTGATCCCCTTGCAAAACATGTGTTAGTACTTGGTAGAGAAACACGCTTCACGGTCCACTCCTCTCTGAAGATCCTCTCCAAATCATTCAGATTTTTAGGCTGATATTTGGCATCTCGAAGCTTCAGCTCCCTCCACAGATTCTCTATGGGATTAAGGTCCGGAGACTGGCTAGGCCCCTCCCTCACCTAAATGTGCTTCTTCTTTAGCAGCTCCTGTGTTGCCTTGGCCGCATGCTCAGGTTTATTGTCCTGCTGGGAGACCCATCCATGTTCAGTGTCCTGGCTGAGGGAAGGAGGCTATCGGTCTAGATGTTACAGTACATGGCCCCGTCCATCCTCTCCTCGATGCAGTAAGTCGTCCTGTCCCCTTAGCAGAGAAACACCACCAAAGCAGAATGTTTCCACCTGCATGCTTGACGGGGGGGATGGTGTTCTGGGGGTTATAGTCAGCATCTCTTTCCCTCCAAACCCAGCGGGTCGAGTTGATGCCAAAGATCAACATTTCTGTCTCATCTGACCACATCATCTTCTCCCAAGCCTTCTCTGAATCATTCAGATGTTCATTGGAACATTTCAGACGGTTCGTTCATGTTCTTCTTGAGCAGGGGGCCTTGCGGGCGCTGCAGGATTTGATCCATTATGGTGTAGTGAGTTACCAATAGTTTTCTTGGTGACTGGTCCCAGCTGCCTTGAGATCATTAACAAGTTCCTTCCGTGTAGTTCTTGGCTGATCCCTCACCTTTCTCATGATCATCAATACCCCACAGGGAGAGATCTTGTGTGGAGCCCCAGACTGAAGGCGATTGATTGTTGATTGATGCCCATTTTTCTTCCTTCCATTTTCAAATAATGGCACCAACAGTTGTCTCCTTCTCACCAAGCAGCTTTCTGATGGTCTTGTAGACATTTCCAGCCTTGTGCAGTCATCAGAGATTGTCCCTGTGGTCCTTAGACAGCTCTTTAGTCTTGCCCATGGTGGAGAGGCTGGAATCTGATTGATTGATTCTGTGGACAGGTGTCTTTTATTCAGGTAACAAGTTGATATGAGTACTTTTTTAAAGGAAGATGACTTATTTAACTGGTCTGTGGGAGCCAGAATCCTTGTTTGTTGCAAGGGGATCAAATACTTATTTCCCACAGTTAAATGCAAATACATTTTGGTAACACTTTATGGTAAGGGTACATGAATCATCATGAATTCATGCATGACTTAATGCATGAAAAAGCATGAATTAATTAATGTAGTATTTCATGAACTATCAGTAATGTATAAGGATTAATAGTATCTCATGCATGAATTAATGCAGGAACAATACCTTAATGAATGCATCAACTAAGGTATCTCAATCATCATGACTTCTGAGTTATTAATGATGTTCATGTCTTCTTCATATAGATCTGCAGTTAAAGTGACAGGCCAAAAAACTGTGTGGTAATCCACGTCCTCCCTAAAGTAGGCCTCCTAATCTTGTGTCTTTGCCGACATGTTTTACTGCTTTCTTATGTGACACGATATGTGAAAATGTGATCTTGTTGGCTTTGGATTATAAATTAAAGTTTGTTAATATTATGAATGAGTTATCTTTAATGGTTTGTGAGCTTTAAGATAATACTGTATGATACATAAAAAAAAGTCCTAACTATATAATTGATAATTGAAATTAAGTCCAAAATTATGATCTAATTTGCATTTGTAATATGGCCAAATACATGATGCCTATATAGACATAAGGGCTGACTTTATTTGAGGGATCACAAAGATGATTGATGCATGAGCACCAAATGGTTAATAAAGGTGATTTCACATAGGCCATTAATCATGTTATTTATCAGTGTAAACGACGGAACAGGTCACCACTTTATTTGAAGGGGCACAAACATGATGAAGTAATGACAAAATAATGCTGAGTTAATCATGATTACAACACTTGGAATAGCTGTGACTGGTCAGTTTTTTGGCCTGTCACTTTAACTGCAGATCTATATGAAGAAGACATGAACATCATTAATAACTCAGAAGTCATGATGATTGAGATACCTTAGTTGATGCATTCATTAAGGTATTGTTCCTGCATTAATTCATGCATGAGACACTATTAATCCTTATACATTACTGATAGTTCATGAAGTACTACATGAATGAATTCATGCTTTTTCATGCATTAAGTCAGCATGAATTCATGATGATTCATGTACCCTTACCATAAAGTGTTACCTACATTGGTATCTTTTATATAATGTCAATTTCTGGATTCTCTTTTTGATATTCTTACTCTCAATGTTTATATAAACGTACCATTACAATTATAGACTCTTCATTTATTTGTAAGTGGGCAAACTTACAAAATCTGCAGGGGATCAAATACTTATTTCCTCCACTGTATATATGTTGGTCAGGTCAGTTCACAGTAGAGACAGACTCTTACTTTGTGTCTGAGGGTCCAGGTTCATTACTGAAGACTGGAGGATGGTCTTTAGACCGGTCACTCTTCATAGACTGACAGCTGGAGAATAGAGACTCTGCTCCCCGTCTGTGGAAACAACAATTGTTTAACACACATCATTAGTTCTTGTAAAAAGCAGCGTTTGATTTCAGTTTTGATTTTCTTTCCCCTTTTAAAGATTTTTGTTGTTACTCTAAACTTAATGTCTTAAAAATGGTGTTTGTGGGTTTCTGTTGTTACAATTCTTTGAGAGTGCAAAGTTCTACATGTTCCAAGTACATTTTCTTAACCAAACACAAAGTCCTACATGTCGAGTGTGAGAACGATTTCACTGTTGCAGTTTATTTACTACCGCTGATGATGCCAAGGAGAACAGCGTCACAGGCGTGCAAAGTGTGGACCCAAAATGGCTGAATAGCTGGGCCTATATATACTGACATCACCAGGTGCAGACAATAATGACGTGACAAACACTCACCGGGGTGGGAAACAGAAAAAGGGAGGAAGTACGCGACAAACACATGAGGAAGACAGACTATCAAAATAAAACCCTGGTACTAAACTAAACATATAACATGAACGTGACTAAAACTGAAACTTGACAAAAATGTAACGACGACGCACAACAAACAGCAAGAGTTCAATCAAACTTCTTGAGTGTACTTTAATGCGTTTTAATCGAACCCTGGTGCGTTTACCCCCTTGGTGCGGTTCGTTTGGGTCGGTGTGAACACAGTCCGAGACCTCTGATGTGATGTAAACAACCGGACTCTGGTCCTCCTAAAACAGGTGGTCTCGGACCGCTTGCTAGTGAACTCTGGAGCGGTTCATCGCTGGTGTGAACACAGTCTGCACCAAAACACAGGAAGTGTAGTATTTACGAGTCACAAGAACGCAGATTTTTTCAAAATCTTTAACGAAAGAGTGAAGCAGAATGAAGTGTTGAACAGTGTTGTGTAAAGAAAAAATGCTCCGTCAACTATACATAAAAGTCAGAGCCACCTGTCGTCGATGAAACCCCCTCCTGACTGCAGAACGTCTCTCATTACATGTGTTATAATGTTTTTTAACGAGGGCTGTCAGTCGATTAAAACATTTAATCGCGATTAATCGCATGATTGTCCATAGTTAATCGCGATTAATCGCACATTTTTTATCTGTTCTAAATGTACCTTAGAGGGATATTTTTCAAGTTTTAACTCTTATCAACATATGAGTGGACAAATATGCTTTATATGTTTGTTCATTATCATTTGAACAATGACAAATATTCTCATGAATATTAAACACAACAACCTCTGAACATTACAAATATTCGCCTCAATTCAACCTGGAACCTCTCTCATACAATAATACAATACAAAGTGTGTGTGTGGCAGACCACACTTCCACGCTCACTGGCAGGCCCGGACTGGCCATCGGGAGGACCGGGAGGGTGTGTGTATGTGTGGCGCGACTCGCGAGCGAGGCACACCTTACGTGTTGTTGTTGTTGTTAGCATCTGGTGCTAGCTAGCTGTGCTAACGGATATAAGGAGCTGTTTCAATGAAAACAGAGGAGCGACATTTCGCCGACAACTGCGCCGAGCACTTGACTTCATGCAGGTAGCCAGACAGTGGGACATTGTACGAAAAGTCAACACACTCACCACGGATAGTGCGCGCAACATGATTGCAGCGTCCAGGCAGCTCCCGTTCGAGCATATATGCCTTGAGCTGCACATAGCTCCAACGATCCATCACAGTGGTCGACACACACACACACACACAACACACACACACACACACACACACACACACACACACACACACACACACACACACACACACACACACACACACACACACACACACACACACACACACACACACACACACACACACACACACACACACACACACACACACACACACACACACACACACACACACACACACACACACACACACACACACACACACACACACACACACACACACACACACACACACACACACACACACACACACACACACACACACACACACACACACACACACACACACACACCATTTCAGTAGCAAGAGACCCTTGCAGAAAACAGTAAAAAGTGTGACATTTTGCTGCAGGCTTCAAAGGGTTAAAATTATCGCCATCTTGTAGACAAATGTGAAAATTGAAAGCTAGAAGTCCAAAATGAAATCTTAACATAAAGGAAATCAAGAGTTTATGATAAGATAAATGTGGGGTCAAAAAAAGCATTTTCAATGGTTTTCAATGGGGCATTTTTTGCCGCTAGGAACAAATGTGTCGGTTTTTGTGTAGCTTAGCCATTTTAGGCTAATTTAAAAAACTGAGACCACAATTCAATATACAACTAAAAAAGAATATCCTCTGGCAAGTTTGAGCAATATTCATTCAACACAGCCAAAATGGCATGAACATGAAAACCCGAATGGCTGAAAAATGGCCCCAGGGACTCTTAAGGGTTAAGACCTTTTTTAAGACCCTTTCCAGTTCTAACTGGTTACATTGGCGACACACTTTACCTCACATTTACTATATTGATTGTAAGATAGCACAACTAAACAGCTTGTGATAACTCCTTATCATAATTCAGATAAAACAAAGCACAAGAGAATGAATTGTGTGACCAACACAATGCAAGGTTTATTAGAAAAAGAAACCATTAGAAAGTAGTATTTGATTTAGGCATTGTTCCCAAGAGATAAAACATACAGACTACTGAAGCCTCCTCGCCATATGAACTTCAACCTCTCTGTCAAGGTCAGGTTTAATGCAGTATGCTGCTTTGTTGCTTCTGTAGACACACTTTGTGCTCTTTCATTCCAGTAAAACTCCTCAGAAACCATTAGAAACCAGTATTTGACCAATAAACAAAACAATTGACAAAACTTTGAACTATGAAATATATTAAACCTTGGTGAGCTTCAGCGGGGTAATGCCATATAGGAGCTCCCTCACAAATAGGGGTTAAATTGGGCCGGCGCTGTCCGGGGCTAAGCCGCGGCACATAGGACGATGCTCTGACGTCATCACCCTCGCACATTTGTCATATGTTTACAAAAAACGACATACAGTATATGTTAAAACTTTTCTCGTTCTTAATATAGACTATATTTAGGGTCGATATGTGTGGACTTTACTTTAAAATAGCAGATCTCTGTGACCGGATATAGTTTGGCTTAGTGAACATGTGTCTCTTCCTTGGAGGAGCAGCATCGCCCGGACTCCGCTGCTCCTCCGCGGCTCCTCCGTGCAGAGAGTCTGCACTGCAGCGGTGAGTGTCAGCGACGTGCAGTCAGGGGAGGCACGGATTGGCCATCGGGAGAGTCGGGACTTAAACGCCGCGGCTTTCTGGCTAGCACTTAGCATGTGGGACCGGACAGCTTTGATCCCCATCGACAGTGGTGATTCTAGAGTCTGGGGCCCCTCGAACCAGCTTTCATCCCCATCAGTGGCGCCCCAACACACTTCTCCCCCCCCCCCCCCTAATACCTTGGAAAATGCCATTAATACTTTTTAATAGCCTTCATTTTCACTAAATTGATTTATCAACTTTTAATACTTTTTAAGACCTCGCGGACACCCTGTTATATATCTGAGTAAAACGTATAAAGATTATTATTGTGTGGTGTTATAACTTGTAAAACTTTTAAATAAAACTACCTGTTCACACTTGTGAAAAGCAAATAAAGATCCATATAGCCCTCTGATTATTACTGAATAAGTAACAAATCAGCGGAAATGTAACCCGTCCCCACATAGCTTGAGTCCTGAGTCCAGATTGATTGCAGTGTCCTGTCTCCTTGGTTGAGGGTCAATCCCTGACAGAACACTGCAGTCTCCCAGAGATAACAGCTGGTAAGTAGAACCTGGTCAACTGAAATACGGCAGCAGTGCTTTACGGGTATTAAATCCCAAAGGTTTCAGATGTGTGTTCATTAACAGGTCTGTGACAATCTAAAGGGATAAACTAACAGGAAAAGATAAATAATGTATATTGATGAATGGAGATACAGAAAGAAGGGAGTTTATCGGTACCTCGAGGTGGTGTGTGAGGACACACCTTTTATGCCCGGACTGAGTAAAAACTGTATCAATCAACAGCACCAAATTAGCAGACCTATTAGGTGTAAATGCGACCTTACTTTATGTCTGTGGGTCCAGGTTCATTACTGAAGTCTAAATGTTCATCCTTAGACCGGTCACTCTTCATAGACAGACAGCTGGGGACTGGAGACTCTGCTCTCTGTCTGTGGAAACAACAAAATGTTTAACACACATCATTAGTTATTGTAAAGGGCAGCTTTTGATTTCAGCCCGTTTACGTTATTAAAGATTTTTGGACTTGCTCTGAACTTTCAGTTTTTAAGTCGTGTTTCAGGGTTTCGGTTGTTAGAATTAATTTGTGAGAGGGAAACGTTTGACATGTTCGAAGTTGATTTACTTAACACAAAGTCCTACATCTGGAATGTGAGAATGATTTCACAATAGTAGATTATTGCTGATGATGCCAAGGAGCACAGCCAGAGCTCAGTTACACCTCTTTACTTTCCTCTTCCGGGTTTCTTTACTCTAATTTACTTTGTTTCATGACTGTACTCCACAGGGATGCTTTACTGTGTTTATATACTGTGATCTGCTACTCAGATCAAACCAGACTCCTCTTCAGGTCAGTTTACAGCAGAAACAGATGCTTACTTTGTGTCAGAGGGTTTTCTGGACACTGAAGATCTGTCCTCCTCCTCATCTCTCATGGTCTCCATTGTGAGAGATGAACCAGTAACCCTGGAGACAAATACATAAACACACACACTTCATAATACAAGCATTTCAATCAAATCCATCATAATGATACAATTTGGTTTAAATTTGTGCTGTAAAAAAAAAACGTGAATGGTTGTGAATAATCTGCAAACCTTAACGTGTCAAAAAAAATTACAAAAAATTAATCATATTACCAAGTTTCACCCAAACTTCCTTCATAATTCCAGCGGGTATTTTAACATGAATTGCATGACAGTGAAAGTCAAGGAAAGCGAGGAACTGGCACAAGCTACATGTACATTTAATCAAGTAATAATAATAATAATAATAATAGATGACATTTGTATAGCGCCTTTCAAGGGACCCAAGGCCGCTTTACATGGTGAACAAACAAACAAACAAACAAACAAAAGGGGCAAATAATAAAGTAAAAAATAATGTTTAATAAATATCAGTAGGAGTGGAAGCAGGGGGGCTGTGATGGGTTAGGGGTCAAAGGCCATGGTGAACAGGTGAGTTTTTAATGATGACTTATTACCAAGTACTGTACTTAAGTACAATTTTGAGGGACCTGTACTTTATTTCAATGTTCCGCTACTTTGTACTTCTACCCCACTACAATTCAGAGGTAAATGGTGTACTTTGACTCCACTACATGTATTTGATACCTTTAGTTACTTTACAGATTTTGATTAATGATGTGAAATATAATCAGCTCTTAAATCAGACTTTAGTTCCACCTGGAGTAAATTCACAAGCTACCCTGCAGTATACAAAGCCATTAAAACTATCTGCACCTTTACCAGCTTTGAGAACACTTTAATGATCAATAATTATAAAACATATCATATATATTATTCTGAAATGGACCAATCTGCACAATGACTACTTTTACTGTCGCTACTTTAACCATATTTTGACGCTAATACTTTCTACCAGGGTCGGCTCTAGAACAAATCGAATGGGGGGGAAATCATTTACCACGGGAGGGGCACACACTGCCGTCAACAACCAACAGACAAACACCAACGCAACTTCAATTTCAAAAAACATGCTGTAAAGTCTATTGTCTTTCACACACATTGCAGGGGTGTAGTGCTATTTTATAGCGCACCTATGACTTGTTGTGGCACGACCACCAAAACAGAAACATATGGACATAGGCCACCATATGAAAAGTGTGCACATGTATTTAGTATCCTATCCATGTGAACATGTTTTAGGTGGGGGGTGGACCTAACCTCCTCGAGGAGGGTCTTGGGGCATGCTCCCCGGGGGAAGATTTTTAAATATTGAAGTTAAATGCATCAATCTGGTGCACTTTGAAAGCAAAATTAAGAGATCTATGGATAGCCTACATCTCTCAACACCCATATGAAACAGAACTGTAAACAGATGTACTTTTTCTTTATGGATATTTTACTAATCACTCCCCTTTTAAAACTGTATTCTTGTGTTACTGCCCTATAGTATTTCATACCTGTTTTTCATTTATTCTCTTATTTTTAATAACTATAATGATCATATAAAGGTGTTCCTCGCAAATACTTGTTACATAAATGGTGACCAAACCGTTTGAGACCCACTGAGATAACTTACACCAAAGTTAACTATCTAAACACTGAGAGAGTCCTTTACCTCACTGAGCTGACGTTATAAGATCCTCTCAGTCTGACAGGAGAGCACTCTCCTCCACCTTGGTGTAGAAACAGCTCTTTATAACCGTTAGCATAGCTAGCTAACCAGATGCTAACAACAACATTCCACGTTACGGCTTGCGCACTCACAAAATGCGCTCGTGCCACACACACAGAGCCGAGCTTGAATGAAACACAGAGACCCAGAAGTACTTGCACTGTACTGTATATCATATTATTTTCGATGGCTTTACTGTATAATCAGTATAACAGATGGACAGATCGCCACTGGGCTTTCATCTAAACACACAGCCACGTAATGATAACAAAACAAAGGCCGGGGGTCATTGGTCAAGCAACACACCAATCAGAGAGCAGCAGTGAGCACACCTCAGGCTGTCTTTTATATTTGTATTCTTTATTTCTGATTTATTTCACACCAAAAACTTTTAGTGGAAACGTTTTCACTTATATGATTAAAAAAAAAGAAAATCGGCAAAGTGGCAAGGCTTGCCCGCCCTGCGTTGGGGGGGAACAGTGACTCATTTGGGGGGGCATGGCCCGCGAATGACCCCCCATGACGCCGACCCTGCTTTCTACTTTTAGTAACATTTTGTATGCAGGACTTTTACTTGTAAGTAACAGAGTATTCCTACACTCTGGTAGTTCTAAAATATCTGAGTACTTCTACTTTTACTCAAGTACAAGATCTGAGTACTTCTTCCACCTCCAGAAATCAGTAAGAGCTGTAACTACCTCGGTGTAAAAGCACATTTAATCCATGACACATGTTGTGCACTCGTTCCTTAGGTCTGGTGAGACGGAGGGGTGGCATTATGCTGAATCCAGGAGATGGACAGGTCCCTACTTTAGGAGCAGATAGTGCTCGCAAATGCTCAGACGTCATGCCAATAATTCGGAAATCATCATAATTTAGCTGAGATGTTATAATAAAGTGAAAACCCCTCTTATTTCTCAGCAGTTTTTCATGGACCGCTTTATGAGACTACAACACACGTTTTGTTTGTTTTATATCTCTCCAAAATACAAGTTAAAAGGCCTACTAATATTTTAAACTTCTGATTTATGAAGATTAATCACAGTTTATGATCGTGATTTACGCGATTACTTTTTGTTTTAAATCAACTAACACCACTAGTGTAAACAACAACAAATACGTCTGTATAGTTATGTAACCATGATGGCGCAGAACAAAGGACGTGAAAGAGGAAGTTAAGGCCTACAACATTTCAATATGCCACATCGGACTCTAAGATGTTGCTTTTTATCGAGACTGTGTTTTTCTGAGATAAAGTAAAACAGAGTAAACATGAATTGTTCAGACAAAAACAGCAGAGCCTGGTTTTAACACTCACCCTGTTTTCTTTCTGCTGCTCTGTTGAAGTTTAAAATGGAGTCTGGCAGTCCGTCTGTTTTCTAACTTCCGCGTTTGATGTCCTTCCCTGTTGGTATGGAATCAGTTTTGTGCCATTAAGATAAAGCAACACTTTCTCAGAATCAAGTGAATGGTTGTGAATAATCTGCAAACCTTAACGTGTCAAATAAATTACAAAAAATGTATCATATTACCAAGTTTCACCCAAACTTCCTTCGTAATTCCAGCGGGAATTTTAACATGAATTGCATGACAGGTAAAATCAAGGAAGGCGAAGAACTGGCACAAGCTACATGTACATTTAATCAAGTAATAATAATAATAATAATAATAGATGACATTTGTATAGCGCCTTTCAAGGGACCCAAGGCCGCTTTACATGGTGAACAAACAAACAAACAAACAAACAAAAGGGGCAAATAATAAAGTAAAAAAATAATGTTTAATAAATATCAGTAGGAGTGGAAGCAGGGGGGCTGTGATGGGTTAGGGGTCAAAGGCCATGGTGAACAGGTGAGTTTTTAATGATGACTTATTACCAAGTACTGTACTTAAGTACAATTTTGAGGGACCTGTACTTTATTTCAATGTTCCGCTACTTTGTACTTCTACCCCACTACAATTCAGAGGTAAATGGTGTACTTTGACTCCACTACATGTATTTGATACCTTTAGTTACTTTACAGATTTTGATTAATGATGTGAAATATAATCAGCTCTTAAATCAGACTTTAGTTCCACCTGGAGTAAATTCACAAGCTACCCTGCAGTATACAAAGCCATTAAAACTATCTGCACCTTTACCAGCTTTGAGAACACTTTAATGATCAATAATTATAAAACATATCATATATATTATTCTGAAATGGACCAATCTGCACAATGACTACTTTTACTGTCGCTACTTTAACCATATTTTGACGCTAATACTTTCTACCAGGGTCGGCTCTAGAACAAATCGAATGGGGGGGAAATCATTTACCACGGGAGGGGCACACACTGCCGTCAACAACCAACAGACAAACACCAACGCAACTTCAATTTCAAAAAACATGCTGTAAAGTCTATTGTCTTTCACACACATTGCAGGGGTGTAGTGCTATTTTATAGCGCACCTATGACTTGTTGTGGCACGACCACCAAAACAGAAACATATGGACATAGGCCACCATATGAAAAGTGTGCACATGTATTTAGTATCCTATCCATGTGAACATGTTTTAGGTGGGGGGTGGACCTAACCTCCTCGAGGAGGGTCTTGGGGCATGCTCCCCGGGGGAAGATTTTTAAATATTGAAGTTAAATGCATCAATCTGGTGCACTTTGAAAGCAAAATTAAGAGATCTATGGATAGCCTACATCTCTCAACACCCATATGAAACAGAACTGTAAACAGATGTACTTTTTCTTTATGGATATTTTACTAATCACTCCCCTTTTAAAACTGTATTCTTGTGTTACTGCCCTATAGTATTTCATACCTGTTTTTCATTTATTCTCTTATTTTTAATAACTATAATGATCATATAAAGGTGTTCCTCGCAAATACTTGTTACATAAATGGTGACCAAACCGTTTGAGACCCACTGAGATAACTTACACCAAAGTTAACTATCTAAACACTGAGAGAGTCCTTTACCTCACTGAGCTGACGTTATAAGATCCTCTCAGTCTGACAGGAGAGCACTCTCCTCCACCTTGGTGTAGAAACAGCTCTTTATAACCGTTAGCATAGCTAGCTAACCAGATGCTAACAACAACATTCCACGTTACGGCTTGCGCACTCACAAAATGCGCTCGTGCCACACACACAGAGCCGAGCTTGAATGAAACACAGAGACCCAGAAGTACTTGCACTGTACTGTATATCATATTATTTTCGATGGCTTTACTGTATAATCAGTATAACAGATGGACAGATCGCCACTGGGCTTTCATCTAAACACACAGCCACGTAATGATAACAAAACAAAGGCCGGGGGTCATTGGTCAAGCAACACACCAATCAGAGAGCAGCAGTGAGCACACCTCAGGCTGTCTTTTATATTTGTATTCTTTATTTCTGATTTATTTCACACCAAAAACTTTTAGTGGAAACGTTTTCACTTATATGATTAAAAAAAAAGAAAATCGGCAAAGTGGCAAGGCTTGCCCGCCCTGCGTTGGGGGGGGAACAGTGACTCATTTGGGGGGGCATGGCCCGCGAATGACCCCCCATGACGCCGACCCTGCTTTCTACTTTTAGTAACATTTTGTATGCAGGACTTTTACTTGTAAGTAACAGAGTATTCCTACACTCTGGTAGTTCTAAAATATCTGAGTACTTCTACTTTTACTCAAGTACAAGATCTGAGTACTTCTTCCACCTCCAGAAATCAGTAAGAGCTGTAACTACCTCGGTGTAAAAGCACATTTAATCCATGACACATGTTGTGCACTCGTTCCTTAGGTCTGGTGAGACGGAGGGGTGGCATTATGCTGAATCCAGGAGATGGACAGGTCCCTACTTTAGGAGCAGATAGTGCTCGCAAATGCTCAGACGTCATGCCAATAATTCGGAAATCATCATAATTTAGCTGAGATGTTATAATAAAGTGAAAACCCCTCTTATTTCTCAGCAGTTTTTCATGGACCGCTTTATGAGACTACAACACACGTTTTGTTTGTTTTATATCTCTCCAAAATACAAGTTAAAAGGCCTACTAATATTTTAAACTTCTGATTTATGAAGATTAATCACAGTTTATGATCGTGATTTACGCGATTACTTTTTGTTTTAAATCAACTAACACCACTAGTGTAAACAACAACAAATACGTCTGTATAGTTATGTAACCATGATGGCGCAGAACAAAGGACGTGAAAGAGGAAGTTAAGGCCTACAACATTTCAATATGCCACATCGGACTCTAAGATGTTGCTTTTTATCGAGACTGTGTTTTTCTGAGATAAAGTAAAACAGAGTAAACATGAATTGTTCAGACAAAAACAGCAGAGCCTGGTTTTAACACTCACCCTGTTTTCTTTCTGCTGCTCTGTTGAAGTTTAAAATGGAGTCTGGCAGTCCGTCTGTTTTCTAACTTCCGCGTTTGATGTCCTTCCCTGTTGGTATGGAATCAGTTTTGTGCCATTAAGATAAAGCAACACTTTCTCAGAATCAAGTGAATGGTTGTGAATAATCTGCAAACCTTAACGTGTCAAATAAATTACAAAAAATGTATCATATTACCAAGTTTCACCCAAACTTCCTTCGTAATTCCAGCGGGAATTTTAACATGAATTGCATGACAGGTAAAATCAAGGAAGGCGAAGAACTGGCACAAGCTACATGTACATTTAATCAAGTAATAATAATAATAATAATAATAGATGACATTTGTATAGCGCCTTTCAAGGGACCCAAGGCCGCTTTACATGGTGAACAAACAAACAAACAAACAAACAAAAGGGGCAAATAATAAAGTAAAAAAATAATGTTTAATAAATATCAGTAGGAGTGGAAGCAGGGGGGCTGTGATGGGTTAGGGGTCAAAGGCCATGGTGAACAGGTGAGTTTTTAATGATGACTTATTACCAAGTACTGTACTTAAGTACAATTTTGAGGGACCTGTACTTTATTTCAATGTTCCGCTACTTTGTACTTCTACCCCACTACAATTCAGAGGTAAATGGTGTACTTTGACTCCACTACATGTATTTGATACCTTTAGTTACTTTACAGATTTTGATTAATGATGTGAAATATAATCAGCTCTTAAATCAGACTTTAGTTCCACCTGGAGTAAATTCACAAGCTACCCTGCAGTATACAAAGCCATTAAAACTATCTGCACCTTTACCAGCTTTGAGAACACTTTAATGATCAATAATTATAAAACATATCATATATATTATTCTGAAATGGACCAATCTGCACAATGACTACTTTTACTGTCGCTACTTTAACCATATTTTGACGCTAATACTTTCTACCAGGGTCGGCTCTAGAACAAATCGAATGGGGGGGAAATCATTTACCACGGGAGGGGCACACACTGCCGTCAACAACCAACAGACAAACACCAACGCAACTTCAATTTCAAAAAACATGCTGTAAAGTCTATTGTCTTTCACACACATTGCAGGGGTGTAGTGCTATTTTATAGCGCACCTATGACTTGTTGTGGCACGACCACCAAAACAGAAACATATGGACATAGGCCACCATATGAAAAGTGTGCACATGTATTTAGTATCCTATCCATGTGAACATGTTTTAGGTGGGGGGTGGACCTAACCTCCTCGAGGAGGGTCTTGGGGCATGCTCCCCGGGGGAAGATTTTTAAATATTGAAGTTAAATGCATCAATCTGGTGCACTTTGAAAGCAAAATTAAGAGATCTATGGATAGCCTACATCTCTCAACACCCATATGAAACAGAACTGTAAACAGATGTACTTTTTCTTTATGGATATTTTACTAATCACTCCCCTTTTAAAACTGTATTCTTGTGTTACTGCCCTATAGTATTTCATACCTGTTTTTCATTTATTCTCTTATTTTTAATAACTATAATGATCATATAAAGGTGTTCCTCGCAAATACTTGTTACATAAATGGTGACCAAACCGTTTGAGACCCACTGAGATAACTTACACCAAAGTTAACTATCTAAACACTGAGAGAGTCCTTTACCTCACTGAGCTGACGTTATAAGATCCTCTCAGTCTGACAGGAGAGCACTCTCCTCCACCTTGGTGTAGAAACAGCTCTTTATAACCGTTAGCATAGCTAGCTAACCAGATGCTAACAACAACATTCCACGTTACGGCTTGCGCACTCACAAAATGCGCTCGTGCCACACACACAGAGCCGAGCTTGAATGAAACACAGAGACCCAGAAGTACTTGCACTGTACTGTATATCATATTATTTTCGATGGCTTTACTGTATAATCAGTATAACAGATGGACAGATCGCCACTGGGCTTTCATCTAAACACACAGCCACGTAATGATAACAAAACAAAGGCCGGGGGTCATTGGTCAAGCAACACACCAATCAGAGAGCAGCAGTGAGCACACCTCAGGCTGTCTTTTATATTTGTATTCTTTATTTCTGATTTATTTCACACCAAAAACTTTTAGTGGAAACGTTTTCACTTATATGATTAAAAAAAAAGAAAATCGGCAAAGTGGCAAGGCTTGCCCGCCCTGCGTTGGGGGGGAACAGTGACTCATTTGGGGGGGCATGGCCCGCGAATGACCCCCCATGACGCCGACCCTGCTTTCTACTTTTAGTAACATTTTGTATGCAGGACTTTTACTTGTAAGTAACAGAGTATTCCTACACTCTGGTAGTTCTAAAATATCTGAGTACTTCTACTTTTACTCAAGTACAAGATCTGAGTACTTCTTCCACCTCCAGAAATCAGTAAGAGCTGTAACTACCTCGGTGTAAAAGCACATTTAATCCATGACACATGTTGTGCACTCGTTCCTTAGGTCTGGTGAGACGGAGGGGTGGCATTATGCTGAATCCAGGAGATGGACAGGTCCCTACTTTAGGAGCAGATAGTGCTCGCAAATGCTCAGACGTCATGCCAATAATTCGGAAATCATCATAATTTAGCTGAGATGTTATAATAAAGTGAAAACCCCTCTTATTTCTCTCAGCAGTTTTTCATGGACCGCTTTATTAGACTACAACACACGTTTTGTTTGTTTTATATCTCTCCAAAATACAAGTTAAAAGGCCTACTAATATTTTAAACTTCTGATTTATGAAGATTAATCACAGTTTATGATCGTGATTTACGCGATTACTTTTTGTTTTAAATCAACTAACACCACTAGTGTAAACAACAACAAATACGTCTGTATAGTTATGTAACCATGATGGCGCAGAACAAAGGACGTGAAAGAGGAAGTTAAGGCCTACAACATTTCAATATGCCACATCGGACTCTAAGATGTTGCTTTTTATCGAGACTGTGTTTTTCTGAGATAAAGTAAAACAGAGTAAACATGAATTGTTCAGACAAAAACAGCAGAGCCTGGTTTTAACACTCACCCTGTTTTCTTTCTGCTGCTCTGTTGAAGTTTAAAATGGAGTCTGGCAGTCCGTCTGTTTTCTAACTTCCGCGTTTGATGTCCTTCCCTGTTGGTATGGAATCAGTTTTGTGCCATTAAGATAAAGCAACACTTTCTCAGAATCAAGTGAATGGTTGTGAATAATCTGCAAACCTTAACGTGTCAAATAAATTACAAAAAATGTATCATATTACCAAGTTTCACCCAAACTTCCTTCGTAATTCCAGCGGGAATTTTAACATGAATTGCATGACAGGTAAAATCAAGGAAGGCGAAGAACTGGCACAAGCTACATGTACATTTAATCAAGTAATAATAATAATAATAATAATAATAGATGACATTTGTATAGCGCCTTTCAAGGGACCAAAGGCCGCTTTACATGGTGAACAAACAAACAAACAAACAAAAGGGGCAAATAATAAATTAAAAAAATAATGTTTAATAAATATCAGTAGGAGTGGAAGCAGGGGGGCTGTGATGGGTTAGGGGTCAAAGGCCATGGTGAACAGGTGAGTTTTTAATGATGACTTATTACCAAGTACTGTACTTAAGTACAATTTTGAGGGACCTGTACTTTATTTCAATGTTCCGCTACTTTGTACTTCTACCCCACTACAATTCAGAGGTAAATGGTGTACTTTAACTCCACTACATGTATTTAATACCTTTAGTTACTTTACAGATTTTGATTAATGATGTGAAATATAATCAGCTCTTAAATCAGACTTTAGTTCCACCTGGAGTAAATTCACAAGCTACCCTGCAGTATACAAAGTCATTCAAACTAGCTGCACCTTTACCAGCTTTGAGAACACTTTAATGATCAATCATTATAAAACATATCATATATATTATTCTGAAATGGACCAATCTGCACAATGACTACTTTTACTGTTGGTACTTTAAGTATATTTTGACGCTAATACTTTCTACTTTTAGTAACATTTTGTATGCAGGACTTTTACTTGTACGTAAAAGAGTATTCCTACACTCTGGTAGTTCTAAAAGATACTTCTACTTTTACTCAAGTACAAGATCTGAGTACTTCTTCCACCTCCAGAAATCAGTAAGAGCTGTAACTACCTCGGTGTAAAAGCACATTTAATCCATGACAAATGTTGTGCACTCGTTCTTTAGGTCTGGTGAAACGGAGGGGTGGCATTATGCTGAATCCAGGAAATGGACAGGTCACTACTTTAGGAGCAGATAGTGCTCGCAATATGCTCAGACGTCATGCCAGTAATTCAGAAATCATCATAACTTAGCTGAGATGTTATAATAAAGTGAAAACCCCTCTTATTTCTCAGCAGTTTTTCATGGACCGCTTTATGAGACTACAACACACGTTTTGTTTGTTTTATATCTCTCCAAAATACAAGTTAAAAGGCCTACTAATATTTTAAACTTCTGATTTATGAAGATTAATCACAGTTTATGATCGTGATTTACGCGATTACTTTTTGTTTTAAATCAACTAACACCACTAGTGTAAACAACAAATACGTCTGTATAGTTATGTAACCACGATGGCGCAGAAACAAGGACTTGAAGGGGGAAGTTTAGGCCTACAACATTTCAATATGCCACATCGGACTCTAAGATGTTGCTTTTTATCGAAACTGTGTTTTTCTGAGATAAAGTAAAACAGAGTAAACATGAATTGTTCAGACAAAAACAGCAGAGCCTGGTTTTAACACTCACCCTGTTTTCTTTCTGCTGCTCTGTTGAAGTTTAAAATGGAGTCTGGCAGTCTGTCTGTTTTCTAACTTCCGCTTTTGACATCTGTCACTACCCGATCTGCAGCCCTGCCCTATCTGCAGTGTGCAGGTGCGAGATGGTCCGCCATATTTGACAACTACATACGGCAACTCTAATAGGACACTTGACACAGTGGCTTTTGGCAAAGCAGAAAAAGAACCGAGAGAGATGAGTTATTGTTATTACAACGTGACTTCACTATTATTTAACAACTCTTTTTATTGGGTTCTTTTATTTGGGTTTAAGTACATTGTCAGAATAAGTGAGAAATGGATTTAACTTCTGTTAGACA